AGGGAATCACAGACTGAAACAGGCTCCAGGCTCTGAGCTGGCAGTCAGCACAGAGCCCGACGCGGGGCTCGAACCCACGAACCGCGAGATCATGACCTAAGCGAAAGTCGGACGCTTAACCGACTAAGCCACCCAGGCGCCCCGAGAGGCAGACTTCTAAAGTCAGAACATGGAGGAGGATACACTGATATCAGGTGTGGGCTCAAAGAAGTGCCCTCCCCCCAACCCTGATGCCTCTTTCCTTGAAGGGCGGCAAGAAATATGGATAAAACTTCTGCAGCCTTTCTTTTCAGAAGCATGCTCTATGCTTTCTTATTTTCCCAGAGGCAGAAAAAACAGCATATTGTGTTGTCTCAAAAGAAAAGAATGGAGTTGAGCCTTTGTGGTTAGAGAGGAGAAAAGTCCATCAGTTGTCAGAAAGTCAGAGTCAGGGGAATTTGTGCAGCCGGGGCCCGATAAAAGGCACTGCAGGTGCCGATGACAGATTACTGTCCTCATAAACCTGAAGGCATGATCTAGGGCTCAATCCTAATGTCTGCCAAACTCAAAGAAGTTAAAGAAAAATGAGACATGGTAGATGATTTAGATTGCACCTGCGAGAGAAAGGATGTAGCGCACCCAAGATGTGCCTTGTGAGATAAGGCGAGCATTAGCATAGAGAAGCCCCAGATTTGCCTTCTCCTTGCTTTTTCCAGCCCATGATAACTGTTAGAGAAGCATGTGGCATGTGAAAGTTATTTCCTTGAGGTCTGATTTTGTTCGGGAATCCTAAGGGCTCGAAATGTAAATCTTATGAGCGCAGGGGATATTATCAGCTAATTTTTCCCCATGGTTTTAAATGCTAATGGCATAGCGATGCAGTGTGTATTTGTTAAGGTCTCTCTGCATTCCTCATACAACTCTTCTTGGGTTGTATGGACTCTTGGATTGATGTGGGTGGGAGGTGGGAGTGGGTCCTCCTTTCCCAACCCCTGGGCTAGTCTCAGGAAGAAAACAAACCCGACCACGAAGCCTCTCTGAGGCCCATTTCCTTATGCTGCTGCCTTACATGTGCTGTATGTATTGTTGACTTTGCCCCTGAAGGCACAGTGATGGAGTAGTAATACCCTGGAAACTATAGATCTGAGTTTGAAGTCTGCCTCTCAACACATACCAGCTGGGTGAATTGAAGCAAAGTCACATCTCTGCCCTTGACTTGCTCATCTATAAAGTGGAGAACAATTTATCTGTGTCAGGGACTTTTTGAGGATCTATCTAACAAATTAACTACCCCCAAATTTAGTGACTTAAAATAATTTGTCAGCTCATAGAATTCTGTGGTTCCAGGAATCTGAGAGCAACTTATCTCGATGATTTCCAGCACAGTGTTTCTCATGAGGTTGCAGTCAAGATGGTGGCCAGGGCTGCCATCATCCAAAGGCTTGACTGGGGGTGGAGGACTTGCTTCCATGGTGTCTCCCTCACATAATTGGCAAGTTCGTGCTGGCTCTTGGCAGGAGGCCTCAGTGCCTACAATGTAGATGTCTTCACAAGACTGCTGGGTTTTTCCTCACAAATGACAGCTGACTTCCCCACAGAGTCATCCAAGAAAGCCAGGAGAGGTCACATGCCTTTTGTGATCTGGTCTTGGAAGTCACAGATCATCCCTCTTGCCTATTCTACTTGCTAGAAGGAAGCCACTTGGTCCAACCTTCACTCAAAGGGAGGAGAATCAGGCTCTATTTTTTGAAAGGAGTGTCTAAGAATTTGTCTAAGAATATTTTAATTCACCGCAGGAGATAGCATAAGTAAAATTCTTAGAAAAAATAACTATTGAATAAGTGAACGCAGTTAGTATTTGAAGGCTTTAAAAAAGTACCTGGTTCCACTCCATCTCTCTAGTCGCTAGCACAATAGTTTGTGTGCAGTGGCCATCTTAAGTAAGGAGATAATTATTATATAATTAATTAAATAAGAAGCTAAATTTGTTGTTTGCTTTGTGTCCAGTGTTGTGCTAAGCATTTTTGATAGAAAAACTCATTCCATCTTCACAATATCCTTGGGAAATGGACATTATCATTATCTCAATTTTTAGATGGAAAAACTGAAGTGTGCACAGACAAGTTGGGCAATTTGTTGGATGTTAACATATGGAGGAGTGTGACAGAGCCTAGATATGGTCTCTGTCAGCTCCAGGATGCAGCCTTTAACTACCAAAGGATGGGTCTTGTCATAAATCAAGACCTCTAAAATTATTTATGTGAAATATTCCTGCCTCTGAAACCTGTTATCCAGGAATATTTTGAGAGCAGGAGAAAATGATACTTGAATTGTGAGGTCTGTATCTTGAGGCACTTCTCTCAGATCTAAAATGTTCTAAAAATTCCCAGCCAAAATTTCACAGCAGGAAGCATGGGAATTCCTCCCCCACACTCTTCCTTTCTCCATTACTTGGTAAAACATGCCAACAGCCTCTGCTTTCTTCTGGTCTGCTTTTTAGGTTTCTGCTAGAAAGTTGGATGTTTGGATGTCCAAAGGCTGAATACAAGTTTAAAGACCAAAGTAGATGATCTTAAAGCTCATTTCCTGCCCTAAAGTTTTATGATTACAAGAGTCCTCCTTCTTCTTGGATCCCATTCTCATAGAAATTAGTGACAGGGTCTGCTCAATTTGTCCTCAACAATGACACTCTTGACCCTCCTTTTTCTGTCCCTTAGCCACTGTCCTCATTCTACACCCGATAAGACTGGGATGGAAGCATTGTAACACGGTCTTTTTTTTTAAATTTTTTTTAATGTTTTATTTCTAGGAGAGAGAGAGAGAGAGAGACAGCGTGAGCAGGGGAGGGTCAGAGAGAGAGGGAGTCACAGACTCTGAAACAGGCTCCAGGCTCTGAGCTGGCAGTCAGCACAGAGTCCGACGCGAGGCTCGATCCCACGAACCGCAAGATCATGACCTAAGTGAAAGTCGGACGCTTAACCGACTGAGCCACCCAGGCGTCCCACATTGTAACACGGTCTTAACAGGGCCAACATCTCCAGACGTTTTTATGATCACATAAAAACTGATCATATAACTCTCCAAGAATATCCTCTCTGCTTATACCACACTACTGTTAAAAAAAAAAATAATAATAAGCCCTTTAGGGGTGCCTGGGTGGCTCAGTCAGTTGAGCATCTGACTTTGGCTCAGGTCATGACCTCACTGTTTGTGCGTTTGAGGCCCACACTGGCCTCTATATTTATAGCTCAGAGCCTGGACCCTGCTTCAGATTCTGTGTCTCCCTCTCTCTGCCCCTCCACTGTACATGCTCTGTCTCTCTCTTTCTCTCTCTCAAAAATAAATAAACATTAATTTTTTTTTTTTTTAAAAGACCTTCAGTTGGCTGTGTAGCAGTCCTCACATGGGGTACCATTGATACTAGTAGATACTGAGAGAGAGTTTTTGGAGAATGTGGTCTTAAAAGAAATCAGGCAGTTTTCTTCACTAATACAAATTCCTGAAGACTTTGATATGTTGAGGTGTGAATTTTCCTGGGGAGAGAGAGAATGTAACCCAAGGAATTTGGTCTCTTGGGTTCGTTGTGGGCAAGCACAAGCTTCACATCATGAAACTCTCTTGAATTATCCATTTGATAGCTGTTTCTTACCCCTGGGGTTCTTCCCTGACACATCTCATTTGGTGATGGGCCCCTACTCATGATACTGCACCTGAGCACATGGAAGTCCAGAAGGCATTCCTCAATAGAATGTTGTTCTAGATCCCAACCCTCTGCCTCCTCAGAATCACCACTTTAGAGTATCAAGCTATGTGGATACATGTATACACATACATAACTTTCTTTGCTGAAGGACTGGGTAATTTTTTTAAGTTTAGTTATTTATTTTGAGAGAGGGGGGAGAGAGAGAGAGAGAGAGAGAGAATCCCAAGTAGGCTCTACACTCAGTGTAGAGTGGTACACAGGGCTTAATCTCACAAACCATGAGATCATGACCTAAGCTGAAATCAAGAGTGGACACTTAACCAACTGAGCCACCCAGGTGCCCCAGGACTGGGATTTTAAAGGGAATTGACTCACAGATGTTTTTAGGAGATAGAAGCTACTCTGCATGATACTATAATAGTAGGTAAATGTTATTACAGATTTATTCAAACCAATAGAATATACAACACTAAGAATGAACCTTAATGTAAACTAGGGACTTTGGGTGATAATAATGTATCAGGGTAGGTTCATCAGTCATAGCAAATGTACATTATGGTGGAGAATTTTGATAATGGGGGAGGCTATGTATGTGTGGGGACAGAGCGTATGTGAGGATTCTCTGTACCCTCAGCCCAATTTTTCTGTGAACCTAAAACTGCTCTAAAAAAATAAAGTATGTTTATAAAGAAAAAAAAAAATAGAGCCAAGTACTCAATATAACTTCCCCAGGGTCCAAATGTGTGTGTATTGACTGAGAAGTCCACCCTTTCTCAGATGTGTCCTCTTTAAATACCTCTACAGTTTCTAATTTAACTTCCCGATCCCTGGTTTTGCCCCTATGTCCTGGAGAGTCTTGTCTTCTGGATTTCTCCACTGTAACTCTATTCATGTTCTGGAAAATGTTAACCTTTACCCATTAGGACCTTCCAGGACTCATTGTGATTTCCCTTATTAAGACATTTCCCCAAGTCCAAGCCACTGAGTTCAGTGTAAAATCCTAGAGCTTTTACTTGGACAATCAGTATTTTCTTCTGATGACCCAAAGGGCTGCAGAGTGGTTCAGGAGGAGGGGGTCATGATGCTTCATTCAGCATCATTCAGGTAGGCATGTATCCTCCATGGCAGGGCTGTTAGGGGGTCTTCCTGAAGATACTCCTTTTAAAAAAAAGCCTCTTTAGATCTGTTAGAACAGCACATAGCTCTTCATAAAGTTATTTTAATTCTCAGGAAGAACATCGTACCTCTAAACCATAATGAAAAACAGTGTTTTTTTAACTGCTTTGTAATTTGCCACATAATTTTTTTCTTCCTGCAGAGTAATGTTACATTCCCTTGATGCTTCTAGCTTGTATCGCTTTGGACCTGATGGCTAAAGAAAGGAGCCATCAGCCTCCAGAAGACTGCTCCCTTGGCCATAAGAGAGAACATTGGAAGGACCATTCAAGCCAGTAAGTAGTCAGGCCCTGTGTTGGACGCTAGAGATGGAAACATGAGTGATATAAATTTTCTGCTCTGAGAGTTGGCTTTAAAAAGGCACTTGTCCATTGGTTGTTCATATGCCGGATACATTTTGAGCACCTACTATGTGCCAGGAACTGTTCTGGAGATGAGGACTGTTTTTGACTGGGTTCCCTGGGAATAGACTGAGACTGGTGAATTGTGTGCAGTTGGTTTACTGGGGAATATTTTGAGGAGAGATATCTGAATGAAAGAGAGGATAGCAGGACAAGGCAGAGATAGAAGCAGGTGCTCCATGGGCTTGCAGCTGAGGCTCCATCCAATCTTACCAGGAGTGCTAGAGCTACCCCTTTAGAGCTGTCTCAAAATGGAAAGGAGGCCAGGCCTTTGTGTGCCAATGTGACCCGGTAGTTGGTGGCCCAGTGTCCCTCAGAGTGGCCTGTGGCTGCAGGGAAGGAAGTTCTTTGCAGCCTGGGGCAATGCCTGGCAAAGGACTTGGCTTTGAGCCATCAGTTATCAGTATCCCCAGGAGCCAGGAGATGGGAAGAAATCTGTGCAAGAATACAACATCCACTACTGGGATATACCAGGAACAAAGATCCATTCATGCTCTCAGGGAGTTGATGGTGTAGTTGATGAGCCAGAGCAGCAAATAGATAAGTAAAAGTGCAAATAGGAAAGTCAAAAAGGCAGTAAGTGGTATGAAGATGCAGAGCAAGAGCACCTAACCCCATCCTAGGGGTCCTGAGAAGGATCCCCAAAGGAGGTGAGGACGATGAAGAGACAGGACATGTGAAGGCCGTGGGTATGGGAGCCATAACAGAAGGCATCTTCCCAGAGTGAGAACTTGGCACAGGGGGCCTTATGTAGCTAGGAATGGCTGGAGGAAAAAGTGTGGCATGAGTGGTGGTGCAAGGTCTGGCAAAGGAGCGGAGCAAGGCCTTGAACCTGAGCCTGAAAGAGCAGGGACACCTGGTCCAGCAGCTGGGGGTTTTATCCTGATGATCCTGACAATCACAGGTCCCAGCAGGTAGTTACATCATAACATTTGCACTTCAGGAAGATCATTCTGGCTGCAATGTGGAGAAAGGAATCGAGATAAAAGCCACACAGGGGGCCCCTACGAGTGACCATGTGGGCTCCTAGTTCATTAGTTTCCAGTGAGAAATGATAGTGACTTAAAATGGAGGCATGTCAGGTGGGTTGGAGAGAAATGGATGGATTTGAGCGATATTAAGGAAGCAGAATCCATAAGACTTGACTGATTGGATATGGGTCTTTAGGGAAAAAGAGGAGTCAACCCCAGATTTGTCTTTGAGCTGCAGCAGGCTGGCAGTGGTGTGAAGGATGAATCTGAGAGACTGTCAGGCTGAAACAAGGGAACCAATTAGAGCCATGATAAACAATGTAGTTTTGTACAGGGACCCATTCAGGGAAAAAAAAAAAAAAAGTTTGTGACCATATCCATTTCAATCAAATGAAAATAACTTTATAGAATTCTATTAAAATAATATGTATAACCTTCTAACTTAAATTATCTTTGTTAAAAGAATGTCAGTGAGTTGGGGCATCTGGGTGGCTTAGTCGGTTAAGCGTCCGACTTTCGCTTAGGTCATGATCTCGCGGTTCGTGGGTTCGAGCCCTGCGTCGGGCTCTGTGCTGACTGCCTGCTCAGAGCCTGGAGCCTGTTTTGGAGTCTGTGACTCCCTCTCTCTCTGACCCTCCCCTGCTCACACTGTCTCTCTCTCTCTCTCCTAGAAATAAATAAAACATTAAAAAATTAAAAAAATAAAAAAGAATGTCAGTGAGAAAATGGTCCATGCTTCTAGCCACTTAAATATTAATATCTGTGCCAAGTTGACACATAGCACCATGGAAGCAGCTTGTCAAGTTTTGGTTCCTATTCATGAGGTGCTTTGGACCTCACAAAGAACATTCTAGAGTATGTTCCTTTTTTTATCCTAGAGGCAACCTTGCAGGTAGGAATTATTACTTATTCAATACACAGAAGCAGAAATGGAGAAAGAAGGGAAATGACTTCACTTGCCACATGGCAAAGTTGAGTCTAGGATGTTCATTCCATTCAGTGCATCATTTCCTGACGCAGCAGCCCTATGTGCCAGGCATCACACAGATGAAATCAATGTGCTGGCTCCCTGCTTCTTTTAGCAACCTGGTCTTCACTCTTTGCTGACTGCAGGGTTGTCTGTCTGCTTAGGAGCAGAGAGGCTGAGATGGGCAGAGAATGCCTTGTGACCAGGAAGCCTCCACAACGCCAATTTCTCCTGAAGGGGCAGGCCACCTGAGCATTCTTGCTACCTTACTGCATTCAGGCCACTTCTGAGGGCCCCGGCCCAGGGCTCTCCTGTGAGGCAGGCTTTGGCTTTCAGTTACTTGGAGAGCAAGGGCTGGGCAAGTCACAGGTGACACCTCCAGATGTGGATCCCCATGCTTTGTAGGGTCCAAAATTCTTCCAACCAAGTTGAACTTGGTTTCTGGGTTGTATGTTGTAGCAAGATGAACTCGATGTAGCCAAAAGAACCTCTCTTCCTAAATCAGTGATACTGTAACCTCCAGGGTTAGAAGGCTGTGCCCCTAGCTGGAGCAGGGGAGAGGAAAGGAGGCAAGGAGAGGAAAGGTGGGGAAGGGAAGGGGAGGTCTCTTGTTCTGAAACTGCCCCTTCAGTCTCCAGTCTCTGGCCACACAGCTCCTTTTTGTCAGCAATTGCAGTATCAATGAGAAAGGAGCTAGGGTTTCTTAATCTAGCAATTTAGAAATTAAAGATGCAATTAAATATGATTACGAATAAGCTTGACATAGATTTTCTGAATATAAACACTCATGTACAGATGCACACATTTATTCACTAGTCTCTCTACAAGCACTTTGTTGTCTTTTTTTCCCAGCTTTATTGGGCTGTAATTGATGTATAACATTATGTAAGTTTGACGTACAATGTGTTGATTTGATATACTTAAAAATTGCAAAGTGATTACTGCAATAGTGTTAGCTAACACCTCCATCACATCACGTAATTACCATTTGTGTGTGTGGTAAGAACATTTAATATCCGCTTTTATAGTAACTTTCAAGTTTATAATGCAGCATTAGTAGCTATAGTCGCCATTCTGTACTTTAGATCTCCAGAATGTATTTGTCTTATAACTGGAAGTTTGTGCCCTTTGAACAACATCTCCTCAATTTCCCACTGTTCTCCAGCCCCTGGTCACTACCACTCCACTCTCTGTTCCTATGAGCTTAGCTTTTTCAGATTCCCTATGTAGTTGATTACCATTCAGTGCTTATCCTTCTCTGGCTTATTTCTCTCAGCATAATGCCCCCAAAGTCCATCCCTATTGTCATAAATAGCAGAAATTCCTTCTTTCTCATGGCTGAATAATATTCCGTTGTGTATGTGAGTGTGTGTATGCATATGTACATACACATATGTGTCTTCATATACATGATGGACACTTAGTTGTTTCCGTATTTTGGCTGCTGTGAATAATGCCACAATGACCATGGGAAAAGCAGTGTGTAGTTTTGATTTCCATGGGTGGTGCCATGGGTTTTGGTGTTAACCTTTTCCTCTGAAGCCCACCTCTATCCTGAACTGCCTTATCTACTTCCAGAGACCCATGACAATGGTCTTTGAAATGACAATCAAATTGAGCAGAAAACTGCTCTTAGCATTAGAAATACTGACTATCCACAGTCACAGAATGCCTCTCATCTTAGTGGCAAAAGTAAGAGTAGTATTATACACAGCTACCATCTATTTATTGAACATTTATTATCAACCACACTCTGCTAAGTGCTTTACACATGCTAACTCAATATGTTGGGATTCAATTCTATTACGATATCAGGATTTTGTGACTTTTATGGCAATAAGTTACTCATTATCACACCTCTTTTTTCACTAACTTTATCTAGTTCTTTGAATTGTATCCTCTATGCAGGACTCAAAATGCCAATTTTGTACCATTATCTATACCCTCTGTGATGTAGGGAAGATCCTCTTACATATTTATACTTTTCATATGGGCGTATCAAAATGCATTGCCTTCTATATTGTTTTTCCAGTGCTGCTCCTGCTCCTGAAGACCATATCTGACTCCCTAGAATCTTCCTGAAGGACATGTCTTAGGTCATACAATCTTCTAAAGGCAGTGGTTCTCAATAATTTCCCCCCTCTGATGCTATCCTATAGTTATAGGCACATTTTGGCCAAATGCCCAACTAAAAGGCTGTCTCATAAGAATGTGGAAGAGGCAACACAGGCTGCAGATGACCTGTGATTCCCAGCATGACCCAGTGACACCTCTGTCACTCTGCCCTTGAAGCATATGCAACACTGTAATATAATTGGAACAATTTTAAGTGCATTCAAATTTGTTTACTTTCAGGTCACTATGAATTTTATCACATAAACACACAATGCCAAAAAAAAATGTCATACTTATATGTATAAAGTCTTGGAGAGACTTCTAGAATAAAACTACTGGAAATAATAAGTGAGTTCATCAAGGTCACAGAATACAAGATCGATTTGTAAAAATCAATTGTAATTTTATATACTGACAATGAGCAATCTGAAAATGAGATTTAGAAAACAGGTTCATTCACAGTCGCACCACAAAGAATAAAATACTTAGGAATAAGTTGTACGCTGAAAATTATAAAACATTGGCGACAAAAATTAAAGAAGATGCAAACAAATGGAGAATCATTCAATGTTTGGGAATGGAAGATGTTAATTCTCCTGCACTGCTATTCCAGCCCTTAGGGATTTTGCTGCCTCTGTCCTGGGCCATCCTGTGAGCCAGAAGCTGGGCCAGAGCTGGTTTCTCCAGATGCAGATCTTGGTGCTTTGTAAAAGTTCAGAAGTGTTCATTGAAATTGGTTTCCTAGTCATCCGTTGTAGTCAAATGAACTAATTGTAGATAAGTGAGGCACCTGTACATTCTGAGTGAACCGATACTGTCAC